AATCAAAAATTCAAAAAGACTACTAAACTCCCAGGCAACGAATGAGGCAAAGATAACCTCCGAAAACAAAATTTCGCCTGGACTCTAACGCTATGAAAGGGTGAATTAAGGACATGGCAACACAAAAAATAGAGATACGGTTCCGGCTGATTGTTTCAACGAAGTATGTATTGAAATTTTGATGGTGTAAGATATCATCCTATTGAATTAGAAAATTTTACTCGGAAATTGTTCAATCAAGAAAATTTATCATAGATAAACCATTAATTTTCATGACGTAAACTCTCTGATGCACATCGATAAATAATTTTGAACAAATCAATGAGATGTATCAATCAGATGAAAAAAAAATCTATATATTTTCAGTCTTAGCTACCAAGAAAGAAAAAGTCAATAATTACTGGGTCTGTTTTTCTTTTCTGTTTAAGCCAAAACGGCGTGCGAAATAATGTTTCTCAACGATATTTTTTGTAATATCAAATACGTTATGCCTGCAAACAAACGTGAAAAAAAAGTTACCGGAAAACCATTTCAAAAAAATCTGATTATCCAATAATTGACCTTTAGGGCAAAGTTGTGGGCCAATTTATGCAGGTTGCGAAAACTTTATTTGATGCTGACAACTTAACGCAAAATTTTCATGCGTGATGCATTATAGCGTGTTGAATTGGTTTCAAACTTTTGATGCGATAATAAATTTGACCGTTTTCTATTTTTTCGTTGTTGCTGGTGGTTGAAAAAACAACACAGCTGATCTTTCAATGCTTATTGCGTTAGATTTTTGCAGAAAGTCTTGCAAAACGTTTATTTTATTCTTGAAACTTTTAATTATAAATTGTTCCAAAATTTTTTGTATAGCCTAGCAGAAACTTGAAACTAGCGGCAAAATTAACAAAAACAGTAAAATCTTTGAAGAAAAATTCTGAGGAAATCAAAAGTTTTGCTCATTTCTTGCGAACTGTTGTGCAGTCACGTAGCAACATTCATGCACAATCCCTTCCGATGCTTGCTTTCTGCGAAAAAAATACTAAGCTCAAAGGAATACTTAAAAAAACTGAAACTGAGGATTGTTAAAAACTATATTCGCAATAGTAAAAGCTAAATACTAATATTTAGATCTGTCAAATCAAAGATTTACTCTAACCATATACTAACAGAATTCTCAACGAAAAATAGCTCGAAATAACAACAATGAAAAAGCTACTTATTGATAAAAGACCCTTTAAAATCCCATAAAATGTGTCGATACATTTTATAGGAAGAGGAGTTTCTGTCTGATCATAATATTTACTCGTTGCGTTAGTATCATGGTCGTAAAAGGTTTGACTATTATCTTTGGTTGTGTTCAAAATTTCGTCTCTAGGTTCTTCCAAAATCCTTGATGAATCGCTGTTATTGATGCTGTCATTCTCGATGTAATCATCTGGAGATTTTGAACATTTTTTGTTTTAGTACAAAATAGAGTAATATATCACAGGGCACGGCAATCGTTTCTTCATTATTCTGGCTGTTTTTTGAGCCTTTAATTTCTGTTTCATCGAATCCTTCATTAATGCAGCATTAATTCACTAATCCAGCATTAATTGAAGCTGGTTGCAAACGGCTTTTGTCAATGTTGGGATGTGTAGCAGTAAAGTTGTTAAGCCATCGCAGCATTGCTTGTTGGATTTGTTCAGCTATTTTTAAAGGGGCAGGCAGTTATATTCTGGTCTCATTTCGATTTGGGTTAATCTCATTTTGCTCAGCAGAAATTGATGAGTTTTGAAATTCTAGAAGTCTCTCCTCTGTACTTTCAAAGTCAATTTTATTTTCAAGAAAACGCCTGAGGTTAATAGCTAGACTTCGAGCATCTTGGTTTGAATCATTCGTTAACGTCAAGAGCGTTTCGGATTTAGTGGTTCTCGATGGATCAGAAGCAACAAAATCCACTTATTTTGACAAGTTTTGAACAATCTCATCGGATTGTAGCAAATCTGGAGCTGAAGATGACTGCTGTCTAGACAGAACAAAGTTGTCTCGCATTTATTGCACATTTGTCTCGCTCATATGAGTTGACTCACCACTCATTACGCTATTATCAGCGTTTGGATGCGACGAAACATCGCCTGACCCGACACCGCTTGAACTCCCACCAGAATTCTCAATTAATTCTATTGAGATTTCCGAAAAAATCATTTTCCAAAGATCCGACTAATTTTGGGTAATTATGTTTTTGATCAATAACATGGCTTTGCTACCTTTGCAAGTAGCCAAACGTAGTTCTCAGACAACTGAATTCTTCCTTTCGGTAATCTAATTTCGATGTTAATCCTTACGAGGCCAAACTGTGCGCAAACTGAATATGTGCACAATTTTATGTCTGTATACTCCTGGATTACAAAAACAAATCTTTAAATATGTTCCAAAATGCAAGTGTAAGCAGCTGTAATTGGAATCCGCAAAATGTGAATGGAATCTGGAAATAAATGTAGCATCCACAAAATTTGGGAATCCGCAAATGTAAGCTGATTTTGCAAAATGTAAGTAGATCCCCCCCCCCCCCCCCACTTCAACTCCCACGCCTGCCTCAAACTGAATTTCCGCACTCATGTCATGCCGCAAAAGAAAAACACCGTTATTTAAAGTTTTATTTTAATTAGTACTAAAAGATTAAATTGCATGTGCTGTGTTTGAATACTGGGTAAGCTGAACAATAAAATGAGCTGTAGATTTTAATATGGACCATGGAAGACAATTATTTCTAAATCCAAAACCCCTTTCCACTATAAATGTTTCCACTTTTTGAAAAGTTGGTTTGCTCAACCGGTTCGTGCCCGAACAACTCACAAAACTTGCATTCTCGTAAAAGTTTATTTAAGATCTGCTCTGTATGTGCTGCAACAAAATAATTCGATAAAATTGATAAACAGGGTGAATATTAAGAATATTACCAATACCCAACAATTAATTGTACATTTTTTTGTCAATTTTTCAGATCCTCTCCACTCTGAGTGATGTCTACAGTTTCTTTAACTCTACCCTTCAGGTAGTTGCGATTGTAAGATTGGCGTGACTTATCGCTGCCCATATGTTTAGGGTGAGCATTCGAAACGTGGAACGATAATCAAAACTACAAATACGATATCACTTAATCCCAAAAGCGAAAATCATTAAGTTGTATTGGAATCGCTCTCAAAGTCAAAAATTGAAATGATTTTCTGACTTATTTTGGGTGTCTGTATATATTTTACTGATTTTAAAGATATATAAATTTAAAGATCATCATTGTCCTGTTGGGTAACTTCCCAAAAAGCATAATTCCCAAATGGCATACAATTCAAGTTTTCATTGTAATTCAAACGTTTTCTATCAATTTCTAATTCTAACATTTAGTCAGGAACGAAAAAATGTGAACAAGATTTGGAATTAATTGCTTTCAAATAATTGTTAAGTAACAAATTTGTCGGAAAAATTGACCACATGAAGCTTATCAATAACCGCAATTATTTTTGATTTTTGCTTCTGATTTTTTTTACAATTTTAAGATGAAATGTCAATTAACATTTGAATTGACAACTTGACTAATTTTCTCACATTATTGTTCACGAAAAAACTGTTCTCGATAATCTAATGCACCAGTTGCATCAAACTTATGCCAATTGGGAATTTTTTATGCCATTTGGTTACAAGATTTGGCAACAATCTCCTGTTGGTTATAAGATTCAATAATCAGCACTCCAAGATTTCATCACAAAGTTGATTCTGCTCTTTCCTCTTTTTCCAAATTTCATTGTTTCTTTTTGCATATTTTTTTTACTTTCTTTGGGATAAGTTAGAAATATTTTGTGTTTGTGTCAACAAGGGCCACCGAAAACCAATTCTAGCAGCAAGGATTTTGTATCTGGCAATTCTCGTAAATATCAAAACTTCAAAAAGAACTGAAAGTTACAAAACTCCCAGTCAACAAATGAGACAATAAATAGCCTCCGAAAACAAAAATGAGCGTTGACCCTAATGCAATGAAAGGTTGAGATATGTTTCCAGTTGTTTCATAGAAATATGTATGGAAAATTGGATGACTTAAGATATCATCTTATTGAAATAGAAAAATTTACTCGGAAAGTGTTCAATCATTAATAATTTAATGTAAAGTTATCATTAATTTCCATGACGTAAAATCTCTGATTCGCATCGATTATCAATTTCGCACAAAAGCGGCTGGCAACAATCAGGTGAAAAAAAAGGTTTCCTAATCGAAGTTACCCAGAAAGTAAAAGTCATATATTTTTTGGTTTTTTCCTCTGTTTAGGCAAAAATTGAAGTCCGGAAAAATATTTTTCAAGGAAAACTTTTATAATATCGAGAAAGTTATCCCTGCAATCAAATGTGAAAAAAATTTACCTGAAATTCAGTTTAAAAAACTATGGTTGTCCAATAATTGCCATTTAGAGTAATGTTGCGGGCTAATTTATGCAAGTTTCGAAAGCTCTAATTAATGCTGACATCTTGAAGAAAAATTTTCATGCGTAGTGTATTATAGCGTGGTGAACTAGTTTTAAACTTTTAATACTATCATACTTTACACCGTGGTTTTCTATTTTGTGTTTGTTGCTGGTGGTTGAAAAAAACAACACATCTGATCTTTAAATGCTAATTGCGTTAGATTTTTTGCAGAAAGTCGCAGAAAAATTCTCCTACTATTGATCTTTTGAGCTATAAGTTATTGCTTAATATTTTCTAGAGCCCAGCAGAAAGTGGAAAGTAGCCGTGAAACTATCAAAAACAGCAAAATCTTTGAGAAAAAAAATACTGAGGAAAGCAATGTTTTGCTTATTTCTTGCGAACTGTTGTGCAGTCACCTTACAACAGTCTTGCCTAATCCCTTCTTACATTCACCGAAAAAAATACTAAGCTCCAGGGATTACTTAACAAAAACGTAAAATTGAGGGTTGTTAAAAACTATATTCGCAATAGTAAGAGCTAAATACTAATATTTACATCTGTCAAATCAAAGATTCACTCTAACAATATACTAACAGAAGTCTCAACGAAATATAGCTCGAAATAACAACAATGAAAAAGCTACTTATTGATAATAGACCCTTTAAAATCCCATAAAATGTGTCGATACATTTTATAGGAAGAGGAGTTTCCGTCGGATCATAATATTTACTCGTTGTGTTAGTATCATGGTCGTAAAAGGTTTGACTATTATCTTTGGTTGTGTTCAAAATTTCTTCTCTACGTTCTTCCAAAATCCTTAATGAAACGTTGTTATTCGTGCTGTCATTCTCGATGTAATCATCTGGAGATTTTGCACATTTTTCGTTTAAGTACGAAATAGAGTAATATATCACAGAGCACGACAGTGCAAGCAGTGCCAAGTGAACAAGAATCACGAGCAACCAGCAAAGCCAGACTTGATAATAGTTATTCAATTTGCGGTTCTGTCTTTTTTGGTCACTTTTAGCCAGACCTAAAGATTTTTCAGTAGGCGAAACTTCCAGTATTGTATAATTTTTTGTGAACAATTCTTTGTTTTCTGTCGAATTTGAGCTTGGCTTCCTCTCGTCTGTTGCTTGGCTCCGTTCAGCATGTTGAATAGACTGTTCTTCTCCGGATGAAAGAAGAAACAGGTTCCGTTGAGTTTGGCTCCGTTGTATAGATCGAGTAGATTGCTCTGTTCCAGATGATCTACTTTTAAAAGTTTCTTCATTCTTATGGCTGTTTTCTGAGCCTTCAGTTTCCGTTTCATCGAATCCTTCGTTAATCGAAGCTGGTTGCATACGGCTTTCGTCAATGTTGGGATGTGTTGCAGTAAAGTTTGAATCCATCGCAGCATTGCTAGTTGGGTTTTCTTCAGCTGCATTTAAGGGAGCTGGCAGTTGTATTCCGCTACCATTTTTATTTGGGTTAATCCCATTTCGGTTAGCTGAAGTTGATGGGTTTTGAAATTCTTGAGTTCTTGGCAGTAAACTCAGACATTTTTGCAGCTCAGCTACTAGGAATTTTTCCTCTGAATTTCCAAGGTCAATTTTACTTTCAAGAAAACGCCTGAGGTTAATGGCTAGACTTCGAACTTCTTGTCTTGGATCATTCGTTAACGTCAAGAGCGTTTCGGATTCAGTGGTTCTCGATGGATCAGAAGCAAAAAAACTAACTTGTCTAGACAATTTTCGAACAACCTCATCGGTTTGTAGCAAGTCTGGAGCTGAAGTTGACTGTTGTCCAGGCATAACACGATTTCCTCGCACATTTGTTTCGCTCATATGAATTGACTCACCGCTCATTACGTTAATATCAGCGTTTGGATGCGAAGAAACATCACCTGACCCGACACCGCTTGAACTCCCGCTAGAATTGTCAATTAGTTCTATTGAGCTTTCTGAAGAATTCATTTTCCAATGATCCGACTAATTTTGAGTAATTTTGTTTTTGATCGACAACAAGGCTTCGCTATTTTTACAAGTGATCCAACGTAGTTCTCTGACCAATGATAGCTTCATTTATATAACCTAATTTTGATGTTTATCATTACGAGGTGAAACTGTGCACTGAGTGGGTGCAAAGTTTTATATCTTTATGCTCTTGGATTACAAAGAAAAATCTTTAAACATGTTCCAAAATTCAAGTGATTTCCACTTACAGATACGTGTGACGTGAATTTTGTCGGCACAATTATTTCCAGATTGTTGTTCTGGATTCTGCAGCTGTAATTGGAATCCGCAAAATGTGAATGAAATCCGCAAATAAATGTGGCATCCACAAAATTTGTAAACGGATTCCGTAAAGGTAAGCGGATTTCGCAAATTGTAAGAATATTCCGCAATTTTGCTTTATTATCGAAATTGAATATGAGCAAGAGAAAACTAGAGCTAGATTTATTATCTACAGCAATATGGAATTTAAAAAAAATTATTTAATCATTGTCAATGGAATCCACAAACAAACCTTAAAACATTGATTTTTTTAGTCGATGGATGCCAACCTTAAGTATCGATCACCCAAAAAACTTCCTCAGTTGAGGGATTTTCTCAGTTTTTCGAAATTGTTGGAAACACACTCACCGAAAGAAATCGTTTTTGGTTCATTATTTAGTTCAGAAATTATCATCAGTATAAATTGATGAATCAGCTTACTTCAGTTTGTTCAACTGACAGTAATTGAGATCGAAATTGGATGTAAAATAATTTGATAATAAAAGATATAAATTAAAACGCCGCGACTTATATAACTGGTATCCCAAACAAATTGCGTATTCCGCTTGCAATTTGTGGATTCCGTTTACAGTTGCAGATTTCGCAACAGCTCAGTCTTACTATACACATGTCTTATTATTTGTTTTTCGATTCCACAAGCTTTGTTCCGGATTCCGCAAATACTATGGCAGAATCCGCAAATTTGCCTTATTTGGAGCAACTTTGAGAGCCACTTAAAACTGAGCCATTTGTGGAGCCACTTAAAACTTACAGTAGTTCAGCATTTCTTTGTGGAATCCAAAACAGCAACGAAGATCAAAGAAAAGTAGCAATGTCTTGGATTCTGCAACACATCTGATTTTGACTTGTTGCGGAATCCGTTTAAAACTTACAAAATGCACAGTTTAGCCTCGTAATGATTACCTGCAATCCACAAGTATTGGGATGAAAATAAAAAATCTATAAATGAAAAAAAATTTAATGCGCCAAGCTCAAAGGTTTGGTATCTCTGCAGTAGTATTTAAATTTAATTACGAAGAAAAATGTTGTTTTTTTTGCAAACTGATTGTACGTGCATTATGTCGCCAGAATAACAGCATTATAGACAAAATTATAAACAGCAGATCGAGTTATAAGCTTTTTAATACCAACTTTTTGAATAATTTTGTGATTATTCTATATATATCTCTAAAAAGCTAAATAGCAAAAGAAAAACATAGAATTCATATTTACGTTATGTTCACGCGTCACAATTTTCTAAATGTTTTGTTTTATCGTTACTAAAATTGAACAGCAAACTTTTATTTGTACTTGCTGACAGTTGAGAATTATATTGAATTAATCTCGCTCATATTAAAAACTAATGGCCGTGCATCCAAGAGACTAATCTCTCACGCAGTTAGCCTGGTTCGATTGCTTTAATATGGTATTTTTTTAGTTAAAAAAGGTAAAATGGGTGTTTCATCCCCAAACGCCGATTTTTGTTCATTTTTTTTGGCTCAAAATGGCGATCTTCATCAGTTCTAATTGCTAAATTAATTAACCGGTAGGGTCGGCTATTCTATGGGTTTGCACTCAAAACCGGCTCTTTTTTCTTCCTCCCACCTCACCTAAACATCATTTTTTGGTGTAATGAGGGGTTTTATCATGATAAACAATGAAACGAAATATGTTTGTCATGGCCTAATCAGTTCGCATGCCAAAATTCGTAACATTCAATTAACGTGAACTTCATTAGTAAAAAAAAACTTCACTGGTAAAAATTTGCAGATGGGGGTAGGAAAAAGAGCCTCAAAATCTTTTCTTTTTGATTTTCGTGCTCGTCTTTTAGATATTCGACAGATTCAAGGTCATTTATTTGATTGTATCCAAAAAGAGGAGCAGATCCTTTTACGAGCAGATGCCTCGGAGGAGCGTCGTAAGCTCCGATCAATCCTTTGACAAACAGTTGCCGTCAACTTCCAATCAATCAATTTACGAGCGGTTACCTCCCCGTACCGAGACAATTCTTTGTTTCTGACCTCAAATATTTTGTATCTTACCTAATTTCTGATCAGATTTTATTTTTTAAACGTTTAAATAAAGCATAGACTTTCTTTAAATTCTTTTTTCTCATCCTAATTTTGCTCAGAAATTAACAGAATCTAGGCTATTTCTAGCTACAAAAAAGTCTCCTGGAAGGTCTCAAACCCCTGACCTTCAGATTTCTGCTCTAACCACTACGCTAAAGGCCTTGATGGAGGAAAATAGTTTTAACAATATAACACTTGTAAAAACATGTGTAAGTTTGAATTGTAGTGCTACTGTTATTGTGTATACTCGAAGCATGTTTATCTCGTTGAGGTTGAGCAGTGAATTTATTTCTGGTTAATTCTTTCCAGAAACTGTTTATTTCTAAACTAGAAAAGAATTATATCATTTCTGCACGGAAAATAAGAGAAAGCAAAGCTAGATAATCTATATGAAATTTCTATCTAAAAAAAAATAACTCCGATTTGTCCGAATTGGTATTCCGGAGTTGTCGGAAGTTCATATCAGATATATCGCAAGTGTGTGCAGGCTGTGACAAAAACGTCAACATTTCCAAACATTTTTGTTGGAGGCGTCAAAAATTCCGAGCAGTTGTCTCAGAACTGTGTCAAAGGCAACGAAACATCCAACCAGCTGTCTCGAAATTGTGTCTGAGGCGTCTAATATTCCGAGTAGTTGTCACAGAAGAGAGTCTGAGGCACCAAAAACTCTGATCAGGCGTGTAAGAGGCAGAGGCGTCGAAAGTTTCGAGCAGTTGTCTCAGAGAGATGTGCAGGATGTTCCAAAGTGTCCAAGAAGTTTGTGCATGATGTTCCAGAAGGTCCAAGCAGTGCCAGCAGGCTGTTCAGGAGGGTCTAGGCAGTTTCAGCTTGCTGTTCAAGAGTTTTCAAACGTGTCCGGATCGTGTGTGCAGGCCTTTTCAGGGTGTCTAGGCAGGTTTTGCAGATTACTCCATTGAGTGATGTACAAAATGATAATGCTCACCCCAACTCACAAAGAGTGAAAATTTTTTTCTCAATGCGCCGAAAATTTTCATGTGCCAAATTTTGTATGATTATTTGTTTACTTTCTTACAGTTTTTGACTGCAAGTCACAAGTACAATCAGGTAAGTAGAGCAACCAACCATCATCTAAAAAACAAGATAGTCTGATTCTTTTTGGCAAAAATTTTGAGTGTCGTGTACATCAATTGTCTCAGAGGCGTCAAAAACTCCGAGAATTTGTCTCAGATTTGTGTCAGAGGCAACCAAGCTTCCAATCAGCTATCTCAAAACTTTCCCAAAATAGTCGAAAAGTCCAAGCAGTTGTCTCAGAGACGTCCGAAGCACCAAGTAGCTGTCTAAGAATCGTGTTCAGGCTGTTTAGAGTGTCCAGGCAGTACTTGCAGGCTGCTCGAGAGTGTTCGGGCGTGTGTGCCGGCTGTTCCAGAACGTAAGGTGGTCTGTGCAGGCTGATCACAGAGTTCAAGAAACTCGGTTTCTGGAATTAAAACACTGAAAATTTCTACCCTACCCACAGAAATTGCTCTCAAAACACCTCAAAACACCAAAATTTTTCAAGTGCTTATTTTTATGCAATGTCTTTTTTTGGTTTCATACAATTTATTGGTGAGCGTCAAAGATACAATAAGGTACGCAGACTAACCAAAAATCAGATAAAATTCAGCATGATTTAACTTTTTTGGCAAAATTTTGCTCGTTGTGCACAGCTCAAAAACGTATTATGTTTTTTAATGATAATGTTTTGTTGCTTGGCTAGATTTTGCAACCAATTTCTATAGAAAATTGGAAAAATTATGGAAGCAAAGTGATTGTGTTCCTTGAAACTGCTATTTTTCCCGATTTTTTTATGTGTCAAATCGATGCTTTCGTATTTTCGGTTCCCTTCTAATGGCACTTTTTTGTGGACGCTAGTTGTTTACATCACGCTACAGAAGAAACACACGCTTCGTTCCGTCAACGACTAGCTAAGATTTATACCTCAATACGTTGTCTTAATTTTAACGTATTTGCTGTTAGCACCCAAAAAAAAACAGTTCAATATTTGCTTAAAAGTGCTTTGAAAGGTCAGTCTAACATATTTGAATAGGTAAAACAAAAAGTTAGCACCAGTCCAACAATTTAGCACCACTATCGGAAAAAGAACATGATGATGTTGATAAAACTTATAGTGATAAGTTAGGCGGCGTCATTTTATTGCCAACACGATTGTACGTCTAAGATAATAGATGACATTATAAGTTCTGCAGTTTCGATTTTCAGCATCATTACGCACTGTATCTTTGGGCGTAAGGTGGAAGATTCAACAATTTTTAGGCATTGTAGATCGCTTAACCAGCCTGGCAGACTATAGACTGAAAAATTATCGAATATGATGACCCCTAAAGATATTTTTAAGCCCTCTCTCAGAATTTTTTAAAAAAGCCCTCAATAGAAAGCTAGAGATCGTTACAAAAGGCGCAGCAAGCTTTAAACACCCTGCATAAAAACTAGTCTTCATAGGTCCCTCACTATGAGGGACCTATGAAGACTAGTTTTTATGCAGGGTGTTTAAAGCTTGCTGCGCCTTTTGTAACGATCTCTAGCTTTCTATTGAGTGCTATTTTTACAAATTCTGAGAGAGGGCATAAAAATCTTGTTTGTTTTGTATTTTGACCCGTTGCGTCTTTTTAATGAAACTTACATTTCCTTCTCCACCTAATTGCATCCCTTTTCTGACGAGCAATCATTGTCATCCATTCTGTTCGTTTTCTTTTTTTATCGCGTGAGGATGACATAATTGCAAAATAATTTTTAGACGATATCTCAGAAGCTATCACGCATCGCATAGCATGATGACAAGGTATTCTTTTCATGATGCTGGGTTACATTACAAATGGGAGACTTTTTATCACTGAAAATGGTCTCATTTGCGCCTTCATTTACGATCGTTGTCGTTTAGTTTTGGTCTGAACTCAAACTTGATGTAACTCAAGCTGGCCTCAAAGTTGATCTAACTCAAATGAACTCAAGCTTGATATAGTTTGATAAAATTCGCCAACACATTCTGCTTCCTTCACATTACCTCCATTGTCTGATAGACTCTCTCATTTTTTATTCCGCAGTCCCAAAATTCCGTTTGTCGTCATTTGCGGCGCCAGTGCTTCTCCTTGGCAGCTCACCGGTAAGGCAGTTCTTCTAAGAATCAAAAAGCCTCTTATGTCGAATATTGTAGGCTCAGTTTTCTCCTAAGTGTTTTTAATGATTCGACTTAGTTCCACTCACTTTCGCTGTACTGTTTCTAGCTCTAGCATTAATCATGTTAATAGCATTCAAGTTTGAACTTCATCATTGTGGTTAAACTGTGCCGGTTCTTAGCCATTGGGCACCCGTTTTTGGTTGTACTTCAGCCCAACATCTTGAATATGTCTGACAAAATTTAGGCCACAATCACAAAATTGTTTAACGATAGTAGGAGACACGAGAAAAATTTTAAAAACTAGGAAGTTTGAGCCCCATCAAGTTTTTGAGAAAATGGGGTAGGCCTGCTAGTTTCAAAATTTACGTAAAAACGCTCGAGCATTATTTTAGATATTCAATAGAACGTAAAAAAGGAGCTGCTAGCTTTTAGCAATAACAATCAAACACAAGAATTCATTAAACCGGTGCTTCGAGAATGATCATTTACTTTTAATGAAAAAAATCATCAATTGATTGATACAACTAAATCGTACTAGGGAAGCTCAAAACCACCGCCATCGGACGATCCTCACCCGCACTAGAGTTCCAGGACACTAATCGATTATATTGTCATTTTATAGTCAACCTCCATAAAATTACAAAAATTATCGATTATAATCCATCAAAAATGGATTATAATCCATTATTTTTTATATCAATATGATCCATTAGAAGTGGATTTGTTTTCTGAAAGTTTTTATGCCAATATAATCCCTTATAACCGGTTATAATCAATTCCGGTGGATTTTTCCGAGAGGCTAGTCACGTAAATTACAATTTTGTTCAAAGTTATCGCATTTCCTGCTTAGTGCAGTTGCTACGTGAGATCTAAAAAA